GTTGTAGTTGTTCTGTAATCTGACCTGGTTGTTTTTGTCCTGTAATCTGACCTGGTTGTAGTTTTCCTGTAATCTGACCTGGTTGTAGTTGTTCTGTAATCTGACCTGGTTGTAGTTGTCCTGCAATCTGACCTGGTTGTAGTTTTCCTGTAATCTGACCTGGTTGTTGTTGTTCTGTGATCTGACCTGGTTGTAGTTGTCCTGTAATCTGACGTGGTTGTTGTTGTTCTGTAATCTGAACTGGTTGTTGTTGTGCTGTAATCTGACCTGGTTGTAGTTGTCCTGCAATCTGACCTGGTTGTAGTTTTCCTGTAATCTGACCTGGTTGTTGTTGTTCTGTAATCTGACCTGGTTGTTGTTTTCCTGTAATCTGACGTGGTTGTTGTTGTTCTGTAATCTGACCTGGTTGTAGTTGTCCTGCAATCTGACCTGGTTGTAGTTTTCCTGTAATCTGACCTGGTTGTTGTTGTTCTGTAATCTGACCTGGTTGTTGTTTTCCTGTAATCTGAACTGGTTGTTGTTGTTCTGTAATCTGACCTGGTTGTAGTTGTCCTGTAATCTGACCTGGTTGTAACTGTTTTGTAATCTGACCTGGTTGTAGTTGTCCTATAATCTGATCTGGTTGTAACTGTTTTGTAATCTGACCTGGTTGTACTTGTCCTGTAATCTGACCTGGTTGTAGTTGTCCTATAATCTGATCTGGTTGTAACTGTTTTGTAATCTGACCTGGTTGTACTTGTCCTGTAATCTGACCTGGTTGTAGTTGTCCTGTAATCTGACCTGGTTGTAGTTTTCCTATAATCTGACCTGGTTGCTGTTGTTCTGTAATCTGACCTGGTTGTAGTTGTCCTGTAATCTGACCTGGTTGTAGTTGTGCTGTAATCTGACCTGGTTGCTGTTGTTCTGTAATCTGACCTGGTTGTAGTTGTCCTGTAATCTGACCTGGTTGTAGTTTTCCTATAATCTGACCTGGTTGTAGTTGTCCTGTAATCTGACCTGGTTGTAGTTTTCCTATAATCTGACCTGGTTGTAGTTTTCCTATAATCTGACCTGGTTGTAGTTGTCCTGTAATCTTACCTGGTTCCAGTTATTGGTTTGTTAGAAGCAGATGTGGGATTAAGGATGTAATCTGTAAAGTTTTTTGCTGACCCTGTTTGGACCGCCTCTCTAAGTCGTGCTCTCTCCTCAGAAGAGCGACTCCAGACGGGCAGAGTTTTCGCTCGCTGGTGGACGAGAAGCCGCTGGAGATCAGGAGGAAGGAGGAGAAGGAGCGCTGCGGAGGAGACGAGTCTGATGACGACTACGAGACGGTGAGTGGGACCGTGTCCTCATGTTCTCTGAGGCTTACTTTTCAGTCTGCATTTGTGTCTGCCTTTTAAATAATCATCTGAAATCATTTATTTATTTATTGTTCTTTAACTGTTTGTGTTTTTCTGTCAGCAGGTTCAGCTTCCAAAATCTGTTTTCATCAATTCAACAGAAACCAGCTTTGTGGAAAAGTACGACTCCCTGTTTGTTTGTTTGTTTGTTTGTTTGTTTGTTTGTTTGTTTGTTTGTTTTAACAAATAATGCCTGAATCTAATGAAATGAGCCAAAACTGATAAAAAACTTATTTAACTGAAAAAATATTTCCATMATTTAACAAGAATATTAAAGAGTTTGTAAATAAAACCAGAAATATTTTTATAATAATTAGCCTAAAACCTGATCTGTTTAAATTAATGATGTAAATTAATACTTTTTTCTCAGATTTTCTGAATTTGTTTATTATACTTTAATAGAGAAACATCTAATATTTTTTCTATTTCTGAACTTTATATAAAACGAGGCCTCAGGAGTGAAATTAATCATTATTGAGCTTAAAGTTTTAATTTTTTTATTCTATTTTTAATTCCTATTTTAAAAAGGTATTTTTATTGAACCTACATTTTATTTACTGAAACTCTTATTATGGCTAACACCTCGATCTTTATTTACAAAYTTTTAAAAATCATCTTTTATTATAAATCTGAGCTGAAATGTTTGTTTTTCTTCAGTAAAACAAACAACAATATTTTGAGTGTTTTTCTGCCCCCTGGTGGCGACTAACTGTCTCTGCACTTTGCTTTAAATCCATTTAAAATTTATCAGGTTTTATTTACATCACGRGCTGTTTGGAGTTTACTCTTTATGATAATTATCAGAATTAATACCAGCTCCATTATAAATAATAATAAGTAAAATAAACATGTTTTTGTTTCCTGCAGACTCTTCAGGGAGAACGAAGGGCCTCCGCAGGACGGACTTTATGGCATCAGAAACTCCAGAACTAAAACCACACGGGTAAATAAACAAAGAAAACATGTTGCTTTGTAAATAACAGAGACAACATAAACAACATGTGTTTGTTTGCAGGTTCTGGTTGTTTGGGACGTCAGTATAAACAAAGCCAGAAACTATCGTCTGTTTGAGGAGGTGAGACGCTGWCGCTCAGAGTGGTTTCCTTCAAAAGCTCAGTTCTAACTCTGTTTGTTGTTGTTTTTGTTTACTTCAGGGCGACAGCGTGTTCCTGGAGAGCGACGTGACGTTTCCCAACCTGCCGGAGCTGATCGAACACTACTACCTCAAACCTCTGCCTCAGCACGGCTCGCTGCGCCTGCAGAAACCCTACGGCAAGAACCAGAACAGCTGAGACCGGCTGACCCGGGTCACAGCCAGAACCCTCTGCAGGGACCACACATCCTCTCTGGTCCCTCTGGGTTTCTCTCCTGGACCCTGTTCCCTCTTTGATCCAGAGACTTTTAGGATGAACTAGACTTTTGTTTTAGCATAAAAACCTTTTCTGTCACTGAAAGATGATAAAACTGTTCAAACAACCGTTAAAGGTTTTATTATGTCAGAAAAATCTGCAAAACCTGATGAAACCTGTCAAAYTGACCCAGTTTTACATGTAACGACAGGGTTCATCCACCAGGGGGCGACATCAGACTAAAGCACATTTTAACAGAAACATCAAAAAGATTAATTAAACTTCTTAAAATGAATGCAAATTAAACTTAATTTTTAACCATTTCATGAGAAAATATTTACTTTTGGTTAATTTATTATTCATCTAAATTCAAACCTGCAGTTTTTCTGGTTTCACTGCAGGAACTAAAAACTTCAAAAATGTTTAATTCCATGTTTTACTG